CCTTTTATCACCACTGTGTATGCCGTAGAATGAATAAATGCAGCCCGCGAAAATTCCATTGGTATGACGTAACCAAAATACCCCCTACCAGCCGGTTCACATCCCCAGCCTATCCGCTCTACAGACCGCCCCTTCCAATCACCGTACCGACTACTCACAGCAGCCGCATAAAAAAACGGAGGAACTCCCAATCTCACCTCTCTCGGGCCCCTCCGAAGCCTTGCATGAATCGATCTGGAGGAATCGCTCTTGTCTACTCCAACCTTACGTCCTGCGGTCCCGCTGTCCCTCTGTCTTGCTGCGTGTGGGCCTGCTCCTCCTCCGCTTGCTGCAACATGCTACGGGTCTCGTGCTGTGGTCCTGGTCTTTGCCGCTCTCGCTCCTTTGCGGCTGTTCTTCTGCGGGTTTCGCCGCTGCTGGCGTCCTCGTCGCAGGCCTGCTGCTGCAAATACTAGCCGGATCTTGCCCTCGGTGGCGGTGGGAGCCGTGCGCATCCCTGCCTCCTCGTGCCCGGTACGCGCGTGTCCCGTTGTGTTGTCCCATAGTCTTCTGTGCGTTGTGGGTAATATGGCGGACGGTTTATTCCCCTCGCATTGTACCTTGCAGGCTCAGTTTCGCACCCGCGCTTTGGTACTGGCAGGCTCATGTTGCCCCGTGCATTGGTGGGCAAAGCTTCAGTTAAACCCTCGCAATTGATCTGCAGCTCTTCATAACCAAGCTCCCGGTAAATCCGTCTACTCTGACTGCAAGCAATTCCCTCACAATGAACTTCAAGACCTCAGTTTAATTCCCTCACATTTGGACTGCGTGCTCATTTTTAATCCCCACTTTGGCCTGCAGGCTCTCTTTTAAAATCCCTCACTGGACTTCGACACTGTTTAAATCCACACTCTTGGACTGCAAGCCCCGTTTAAATCCTCTGGACTGCGGCTCTCCCAAATTGAATCCCTCACATTGGACGCGAAAGCTCCCAGGTTTCATCCCGCACGGAAATGCTTATACTGGAACTGCTTATATCTGATCTGTTATACCCGTACCTGAAACTCGCTTCATGCGGAACTTGCTTATAAATGGAACGTGCTATAATGGAACTGCGTAATATAAACTGCTATAAATGAACTGCTTAATAATATGGAAACGTGCATATATATGGAACGGCTTGATACGAACTGCTTATATGGAACTGCTCTATATAAATTGCATATATGGTACATGCTTATACTTGAGAACGCTTATATATAAAATAAATAAATATATTTATTTATAATAATTTATGTTTATTTATTTTTATATATAAAGCGTTTATTGCAGAATTCTCAATGCAGATTTTTGTCCGATTGCGGAAAAACCGGAAATCGCTGAAGTCCCAAAAGTAATAGCAATAATCTCCCAAACATGTGGAACGTTTTGATGTATAACTTGTGGAAATTGTTGAAAATGTGAAAGCTGTGAAACGTGTCAAAAAAAATGACGGAATAAAGAAATACAAAACCAATGGTTGACTGCGGAAGGTTCCGCAGTCAATCAAATAGAGTTCTGCAGTTTTCCAGTTTTTTTCTACGGGCTTGGGAATTCTGCCATTAATTTGCATTGAGAATTCTGCAATGCATTTTAATAGGCCCATGCATTTTAATAGGACTTCAGCTCTTTCAGACATTTCTACAGTTTCAATGATTCAACAGTTTCAATGATTCAACAGTTTCAATGATTCAACAGTTTCAAGGACTTCAGCAGTTTCAAGGTTTCAAGAGTTTCAAGGACTTCAACAGTTTCAAGGACTTCAACAGTTTCAAGGACTTCACCAGTTTCAAGGACTTCAGTGTAATCATGCAACCTAATAGGGATTTTTCCATGTAAACCAGTATAATGCAACTTAATAGGGGTTTTTACATGTAAACCAGTATAATGCAACTTAATGGGGATTTTTCCATGTAAACCAGTATAATGCAACTTAATAGGGATTTTTCCATGTAAACCAGTATAATGCAACTTAATAGGGATTTTTCCATGTAAACCAGTATAATGCAACTTAATAGGGTTTTTTTCATGTAAACCAGTATAATGCCACTTAATAGGGTTTTTTCATGTAAACCAGTATAATGCAACTTAATGGGGATTTTTCCATGTAAACCAGTATAATGCAACTTAATATGGGTTTTTACATGTAAACCAGTATAATGCAACTTAATAGGGTTTTTTTTACATGTAAACCAGTATAATGGAACTTAATAGGGTTTTTTACATGTAAACCAGTATAATGGAACTTAATAGGGGTTTTTTCATGTAAACCAGTATAATGGAACTTAATAGGGGTTTTTACATGTAAACCAGTATAATGCAACTTAATAGGGATTTTTACATGTAAACCAGTATAATGCAACTTAATAGGGATTTTTCCATGTAAACCAGTATAATGCAACTTAATAGGGTTTTTTACATGTAAACCAGTATAATGCAACTTAATGGGGATTTTTCCATGTAAACCAGTATAATGCAACTTAATAGGGGTTTTTACATGTAAACCAGTATAAAGGATAACAGTTTAAAGGATATCAAGAGCTTCAAATACTTCAGGAGTTTCAAAGATGTTTAAAGTATTTTAACAGTTTCAAGGATTTCAAGGATTTTTCAGCTAAATTCCACATTAGATCTGTTCCGCAGTCAATCGCAATGGCTTCAGCCATTGCAAGTTTCTAGTTTGCATTGAGAATTCTGCAATGCATTTTAATAGGCCCATGCATTTTAATAGGACTTCAGCTCTTTCAGACATTTCTACAGTTTCAATGATTCAACAGTTTCAAGGATTCAACAGTTTCAAGGATTCAACAGTTTCAAGGACTTCAGCAGTTTCAAGATTTCAAGAGTTTCAAGGACTTCAACAGTTTCAAGGACTTCAACAGTTTCAAGGACTTCAGCAGTTTCAAGGACTTCAGCAGTTTCAAGGACTTCAGCAGTTTCAAGGACATCAACAGTTTCAAGGACTTCAGCAGTTTCAAGGTTTCCACAGTTTCAAGGTTTCAACAATTTCAAGGTTTCAACAGTTTCAAGGTTTCAACAGTTTCAAGGTTTCAACAGTTTCAAGGACTTCAACAGTTTCAAGGACTTCAACAGTTTCAAGGACTTCAACAGTTTCAAGGTTTCAACAGTTTCAAGGTTTCAACAGTTTCAAGGACTTCAGTGTAATCATGCAACCTAATAGGGATTTTTCCATGTAAACCAGTATAATGCAACTTAATAGGGATTTTTCCATGTAAACCAGTATAATGCAACTTAATAGGGATTTTTCCATGTAAACCAGTATAATGCAACTTAATAGGGTTTTTTCATGTAAACCAGTATAATGCAACTTAATAGGGTTTTTTCATGTAAACCAGTATAATGCAACTTAATAGGGTTTTTTTCATGTAAACCAGTATAATGCAACTTAATGGGGATTTTTCCATGTAAACCAGTATAATGCAACTTAATAGGGTTTTTTACATGTAAACCAGTATAATGCAACTTAATAGGGATTTTTCCATGTAAACCAGTATAATGCAACTTAATAGGGTTTTTCCATGTAAACCAGTATAATGCAACTTAATAGGGATTTTTTCCATGTAAACCAGTATAATGCAACTTAATGGGGATTTTTCCATGTAAACCAGTATTATGCAACTTAATAGGGATTTTTCCATGTAAACCAGTATAATGCAACTTAATAGGGTTTTTTTCATGTAAACCAGTATAATGCAACTTAATAGGGTTTTTACATGTAAACCAGTATAATGGAACTTAATAGGGGTTTTTACATGTAAACCAGTATAATGGAACTTAATAGGGGTTTTTACATGTAAACCAGTATAATGCAACTTAATAAGGATTTTTACATGTAAACCACTATAATGTAACCTAATAGGGGTTTTTACATGTAAACCAGTATAAAGCAACTTAATAGGGATTTGTACATGTAAACCAGTATAATGCAACTTAATAGAGATTTTTCCATGTAAACCAGTATAATGCAACTTAATAGGGATTTTTCCATGTAAACCAGTATAATGCAACCTAATAGGGATTTTTCCATGTAAACCAGTATAATGCAACCTAATAGGTTGCATTATACCACCAGACCAAGACCCAAACGAAGACTCAGACCACCACCAGATAATGACCACAGACCAGGTTTCCTTAGTTACAGGAACCAAATTGTTTCAGCGGTGAGGGGATTTTTCAGTTTCAAGGACACTTTCAATACATTCAGTAGTTTCAAGGATTTCAACTGTTTAAGAATTTAACCAGTTTCAAGGATATCAGGAGGTTCAAGGATTTCAGGAGTTTCCACACTTTCAACAGTTTCCAGGTTTAAAAAAGTTTCAAGGATTTCAGGAGTTTCAATGTTTCAACAGTTTCAAGGATTTCAGGAGTTTAAAGGTTTCAACAATTTCAAGGACTTCAGGAGTTTCAAATATCTATCAAGTATTTTAACAGTTTCAAGGCCTTTTAAAGGATTTCAAGGATTTTTTTTAGCAGATTTCCACATTAGATCTGTTCCGCAGTCAATCGCAATGGCTTCAGCCATTGCAAGTTTCTAGTTGCTATTACTTTTCACACTTCCACCTTTAGCACTTTTTCAGATATTAACAAAAGTTCAAGCACTTTTTCCCATAGACTTACATTGGACCAGTACAACAGATTACTCCCCATACAACACATTACCACACTAACAATTCATTACCACAGATACAATACATTACAACATCTTACAACACTTACAGCACCTTACAACAGATTTAGCACTTTACAACACATTTAGCACTTTAACACAAATTCAACACCTTACAACACATTTAGCACTTTACAACAAATTCAACACCTTACAACACATTTAGCACTTTAACACAAATTCAACACCTTACAACACATTTAGCACCTTGCAACACATTCAACACCTTACAACACATTTAGCACTTTACAACACATTCAGCACTTTACAACACATTCAGCACTTTACAACACATTTAGCACTGTTCTTCCCCTTCTTCCTCTTCTTCTCCTTCTTCCCCTTCTTCCTCTTCTTCCCCTTCTTCCCCTTCTTCCTCTTCTTCCTGTTCTTCCACTTCTTCCTGTTCTTCCCCTTCTTCCTCTTCTTCTCCTTCTTCCCCTTCTTCCTCTTCTTCCTCTTCTTCCCTTCTTCCTCTTCTTCCCCTTCTTCCTCTTCTTCCTGTTCTTCCACTTCTTCCTGTTCTTCCCCTTCTTCCTCTTCTTCTCCTTCTTCCCCTTCTTCCTCTTCTTCCTCTTCTTCCGTTCTTCCTCTTCTTCCCCTTCTCCCCCTTCTTCCCCTTCTTCCTCTTCTTCCTCTTCTTCCTCTTCTTCCCCTTCTTCCCCTTATTCCTCTTCTTCCCCTTCTTCCTCTTCTTCTTCTTCCCCTTCTTCTTCCTCCTCCTCTTCCTTCTTCTTCTTTCCTCTTCTTCACTTTTCTTTCTTCTTCCTTCTTCCCCTTCCTCTTCCTTCTTCATCCCTAACCCTTCCAACATCTATGCAGCCACTCACAATGGCTTCAGCCATTGTACCATTTCTAGTTCATATTATTCACTTTTTTTCCACCGAAACAATTCGATTTTTGACCCCAAAGACATGCACGAAAGTCTGCACATGGGGGGTCTAAAACGTTTCAAGATTGACCAACAAACGGCGACTCGATGTCAAATTTTCAAAGCCTATGGGAGCCAGGCATGCATATTTTGGAGTAGGTACACGAAATTCAGATCAGTGTTAGATCTCTATGAGACGAGCATAAAACTCTCTCTGGGCCTCACTCTGGGACTGACAGGAAGTCGGCCATGATGGTCTGAAGTTTCGCCGCTAATTTGACTTTTCATTTATAACTTCGAACTAGTCCCTGGTTTTTCCTCACACAGAGTTCTACCACGTCATTTCCTAATCTGGACGGATTGAAGTTATATAATCATTGAAAAAAAAGTTAGAAATTCTTCACCGTCTTCGTCCCTCGCCATGGCGAATAAGGCCTTCGTTTAGGCCGTTTTCGCTGAGCCCTGAGGGCCACAGGCTCAGACCTACAGAGCTGAGACTCACATCAGTAATATTAGGTTATGGCCTGAACGCAATGACACTAAAATCATTCGCCCAATATGAGCTCTTTAGCGCCACCTGTTGGAAAGTAATAGGGCACTAGTGCTCGGATCGGCCCGAAAATCGCTGAGTGTAATCTCTGGACCGAGATGAGCAAAACATTACATTACGCAAAAGTTGTAAGTCCTACACCTGACCACTGGGGGTGCCGGAAAGTGAAAGAATGAGCTTTTTGGGGCAAAATGTTTGTCCGATGAGGCTAAAAATGAATTCACAAATACAGCGTATGACCCGGAACACAACGATATGCAACACACAACTGTGAGTGCAACAGCGCCACCTACAGGCAGTTCAAGGTGTCGCATTTTTGGCTTTGTACTAGTCTCTGGATTTCTCATGAAATAGAAGACTTCTACCATGTCATTTCTCCATCTGGACAGATTAAAGTTATGCAATCATCGCAAATAGTTAGAATTTATCGTTTTCATGCGAGGTAGTGGGGAATTTCTCCATGTTTGATGCTCTCCTGACCACAGGCTCAGACCTACAGAGCTAAAACTCACATCACTAACAGTTGGTAATGACCTGAGAGTAATGGTGTGAAAACACACACCTAATATGACTCTACAGCGCCACCTATGGAAGGCTTCTGACCTAAACTTTTCCGATCTTCACCAAAGTTGCAAAATCAAATCTTTACATCTGTACGAGCAAAATACTACTCTATGTAGAGGGTGCATGTCCCGGAGGTGACCACTAGGGACGCACTTTATCATATAAATGAGCTTTTATATACGTAATCCTGGTCAGATCGAGCTGCCAATTAATCACACAATTTTTTTTGGGACTTTTTCACTCATGCAGATTCTTAAGATTATATTTCTTATCATTTATATTTTTGTTTTGTTTCAAGAAATCTTAACAAGTGGAAAACCCTGGTTCACTGGCAGATTATTTGTGCTTGAAACAAATACAATTCCTCTAATTGTAGAACTTTTTGCAGTGTATTTTGACTTTTTTTCGACTAAAACAAAGATTTACACTTGTTCTATGAAGTTGGTCAAAGTTATAGCGTCACTTTCTGACTTCTGTCTGGTTTAGAAAAAACAAAACGTTTACAAAAGTTCCTCAAATGCATTTTTCATGTTTATGTTTGTGGCTAAAATGACAGATAAGACAGTTTTGGTTTCACTTCTGACGAACCTTTTCTTTTTGTTTTGTCAGAAGCAAATTTGTTTAAGGCAAGACAAGTTTATTTGTATAACACAATTCATACTCAGGGCAAAACAGGAAGTATTAATGAACACACAATATACTTTTATAAGAGACATACAGACAATAAACAGCTCAATGTACCTGTGTTTGATCTGGATTTGTCAGAGTAAGAGGCCAGTCCCTGTGCTCCTCAGAGTCCCAGCAGGAGGCCAGTCCCTGTGCTCCTCAGAGTCCCAGCAGAAGGCCAGTCCCTGTGCTCCTCAGAGTCCCAGCAGGAGGCCAGTCCCTGTGCTCCTCAGAGTCTTATGGCACTAACATGTCACAGAAATTCTCAGGCTAAAAAACCAGATTCCCGAATCCTGGAAAACTGGATCCTCTCGATGCGGCTCTACCCAAAGCTCCTCCCGTGTGCCTCCTCTCCTCACCCGCCAACAACTCAACAAGTGGTGTACACAAAGTCAACTTGGAATATGTGTTGTTCAATTGTTTAATACTTATACCTAATTTAATATATTACATATACTTAATCTAATATATTAATTCGTAAGGGATAACGTATATTACGCAGGTCATTATCGGAAAATAAGTACCGACAGGGCGAAGCGGAGCCCGACGCGCAGAGGGGTCTGCTTCGCCCTAAAGGTACTTATTTTCCGATAATGACCTGCGTAATATACGTTATCCCGCTTATTTTACGGCTTTACACCAACAGAACACACAACATAAACTTCAGTCCACTTTTAGGAATGCCGAAAGGTTTATTTAATGACAGAAAATCAAATAGTTCCCAAAGGCTTTCCCGTGGCTATGCTAGCAACAGTTAGGCTGGGAACTTCCAAACTAGAACTCTCTGGAACTGCATGAAAACTGAACACAGAATCCTGAACATCAGCGGTGAGTGACCCAAACATAAACCTAACCTAAATCCATAATTCGATCCTCTGCAAATGTGTCCGAAAATGTGCCGGTATCTTAAAATGTGCCGGTATCTACTTCCGGGTTTTTCGGGATCGCCTTTTCTCGCATTACATCAGTGTTTTTGTCATGAAAACGTAAACGGAAAATTCTGAAAACTTCCGTGCACTTCTATTAATACTGGATATGTATAAATTACTCTCCGATTAACATTTCATTGCATTGATTGATTGGCATTTGCGTTTATTGAGCGGCCGGAACTATTTCCGGGTTTTTCACGATCACTTTTTGACGCAGAGAAATAGTATTTTTGTCATGAAGACAAGACCAGAAAATTCTGAAAATTTCCGTGCACGTGTGTGAAGAATGTATATGTATAAGTCTTCTCCGATTAACATTTAAGTGTGTTGATTGAGCGTGGCTAGCTCCGGAGTGGCCGGAACTACTTGCGGAGTTAACCACGCAGGTCATTATTGTTTTGAGAGGTCCGTTATAGAAAATAATGACCGGTAGGACGTTTTGAAATTACATTCAAATCAATGGAGCGTTTTACTGCTGCTGTGAGGAGCCGTATAATACATATACTTAATTTAATATTATACTTAGTACTTATACATAATTATAGACATCAACTTACACTTAATTTAATTATTTTCTACTTAAAATATTATTTCCATCAAATGACACAACAAAGAGAAATGTCTAATTTTAATTGTTTATTTACAAAAATGTAATTTTTTGACAATGATGTAAATGAAACTGTATAAAGGAAAAAGATAAAGTATTTCTTCTTACAAAGATGAGTGATCACTTTTCTCTACGCACTGTTTGCTCTGTTAAAAGTTCACATGAGACAGACAACAAATGAACTGGTGAAGCTGTCGCCATGGAAACAGGAAGTATTTTTCTCCGACACGTCAAAACCACAGTCTCAAACTCAGAACATTTATTAATACATCAACAGATATTCGTGATGTGGTCTCAATGACGCTCGCTCGCACACACACACACACACACACACACACACACACACACGCACACAATATTTTCATTTCATTTCATTTTATTTATTCTTTTTTCATGGTAATGCAACATACTATACAATTGGAACAAATCAACAAACACAACAATAATACATTCCATGAAAAGAAGAACAGGAGTAGGATGAAGAAAAAAAATCTTATAAGCTCCTACCCCATTCTTTAAAAAAAAAAAACATTACAAATTAGATGGCCACACCGATGCCAAAAGATAACAATAGCCCAGACCAGATGTAATCAGCTTTCAATTTTAACAAGTTTCTTTCTTTTTTTCCCGATTATTATTAATAATTTTGCTAAAACAACAGTGATGCAATGGTGACAACAGCGGCGACGGGAACAGCGACGAGTCCATCAAACCACACAACGCACACCCACGTGCACATACAGGGAGACATGCACGGACACACACAGGCACACCCACAGCACACACACAAAAGGATGGAGAGGATCTATTGACGTATTTGTGATGAGCCCTATGCTGTGTGTTGCATTAAAAAAACAAGGTTTGAGTGGGCAGCTGTCGAAAGATGTTTGACCTCCCACAGCTGCCCGGCACCTGCTTGCCCTACATTAGTGATTGACAGAGTTGTGCCCTAAGATAGGTGTTGTGTTTAAAAAGACAGGAGTTAGCGGAAGTCCAGAGGTGCTACACCCCTGACATTCCCTCCATTCCTGCTCACCCTGTACTGAAGAGGATGTGTATATGTACTCGTAATGAGCCCTATGCTGTATGGTGTATTTAAAAAAGCGAGGTTTGTGTGGGCAGCTGTTGAGAGACGTATGACCTCCCACAGCTGCTCAACACCCGCTTACCCTGCACTGAAAATTTGTTCCTCTTTTGTTTTTTTTTTTTGTTTTTTTCTTTTTTTTTTTGCGTACTGTGAGCATACCTGTATACACCCATACAGACACACCCACACGAACACATAGGTACGCGCCACACAACCAGACAGTCCCGCCATCGCCCCCATCACCACCGCCACACCACTACATCACCACCATCGTTATCAGCACTGTTGTTGTAAATTTAACAATTTTCACATTCATCTTTGTACAAGTTAAGAATGTTCTGTTTATACTTATATTTAAATTGAAGAATATTTGAACAACATTTTAGATCTTTTTCTAGAGAGTTCCATTGTTTCACACCAGATACTGAGACACACATTTGTTTAAGGGCATTTCCTGCAAAAGGTTGTTTAAAGTCAGTATTTCTTCTACTTGTCTCACTATTTACAGTAAAAAGGGTTTGAAGTCCATGCGGTAACAGGCAGTGTTTTGCTTTATAAACAACTAATAAAGTTTGTAAAGAAACCAAGTCCTTTAATTTGAGTAGTCCTGACCTCAGAAACAGACCTGTAGTATGTTCTCTTGGAGAAACTCCATTAATTATTCTTATAGCCCTTTTTTGCAAAAGAAATAAGGGCATTAAATTAGTAATATAAGAATTACCCCATACCTCCAAACAATACATTAAATATGGCAAAATAAAGGAACAATATAAGATTCGCATTGCCTTGTAATTCAACATAAACTTTACTTTACTCAAAACAGCAATATTTTTACAAATTTTATTTCTTACGTAAGCTATGTGTGACTTCCACTTAAATTTATCATCAATGAGTACTCCTAAAAACCTGAATTCTGACACTCTCTCAATAGTTATTCCATTTAAAGTCAAATTAACACTTTCAAGGCATTTTTGATTTGTAAACAACATACATTTTGTTTTGTTTAAGTTTAACGACAATTTATTTTTATTAAACCATTTCTGAAGTTGGACCATTTCTTGTTCAATAGTTTTTATTAATGTTCCTAAATTCTTCCCCGATACAAAAAAATTGGTATCGTCCGCAAAAAGAACAAAACGTAAAATCTTTGATTCATCACAGAGGTCATTAATATATAAAATAAAAAGTTTTATTTTTATTGTTTTATTTAAAATATGCATTTTATACTTTCTTCTTATAATTATGCTAAAGTCTGGGTTTTTGTACTTAAGTCTTGCTTCTTCATCGTGTGCTAAAGTTGTAGATTCTAGACTTCTTTCCTTATTACGCAGAGATTTTATACTACACACCGAGTCGTCTACATCTTATTAGAAAACATGTTATCTTTGACCCTTTGTGCTGAGAGCTGATTGGCTGAGGGTGTGGTCCTCTATTTTTTATAACATTTCTGTCTGAAAACTAGTGATAGAAACTGTTTTGACAACGACATAGATTTTTTCTTACATAGTTCCATTGTTGTGGTTTGAAATTCAGGTACCCCAGCTTTAAGTTTATAATCAAATCTAAACATAGCTGTAATCCATAGTTTGAGGCGGCGGTTTGTCTGGGATGGTGCAGTAGAAGTGGTACACGCTGCTCTAGAACACAGAGAGCAATCAAAAGTGTAAAAACACAAACTTGATTTTACGCACGGTTCACTAATTATTCATATTTCTAACCTGGCGACGAACCATGTTTTTCCCGACGACCTGTGAATCTGACATCAGCAAAATCAATTAGTAACAAAAGTCTGTTATCCATCCGTAGCCCTGTTTCCACCGGCCCTACTTGGCTCTACTCTGCTCTACTCTATTTGGCATACAGAAAATGCAACCCAAAGTTTTAGTGTATGGTACCGCATCTGCAACCTACCCATAACATAATAATAAATGTATTATTATCACAATAAATCAGTATCCAAGAAATTCCTTGGTAACCATGGCTTCCTGCAGCACTCTGGCCAATCACTGTCAGTTCGAACCATGGATCTATTATAATAACTGGATAGGGTATTACTAGCTTGGAGCTGAAGAACCATGTGCTCGGGGGATTCTACGTCATGGTGCTACGTCCCTTAGGACTTCGCTAGTGGGATATCACTCGTGACCCCCAGGTCACACGCCAGAGAGATCAAAATACTTTGCCCCAATCACCAGCCACCCTCCTCTATAAAGGCCCCTGCACAAAGCCGCACCCCCTCTTTCACTCTGGCGCCGATTGAGATCTACCACAGTACTTACTTCATTCTGAGATGTCTTCCATTGTTCGTCCGAGTTCCCTTCGCCCTCCGGCGTCGGACGTCGTCGCTGGATCCAGACGGTGGAGGACTTCACCTCTGTGGGCGCCACCACTCGAGGGAGGAGGAGGATACAACCCACGTTGTGCCCGCGGATGGACCCGATCGTCCATTACGCGACACGTGAGTGGCCAAAGCCCCTAGCAGCCAAGAGGCCTGCTCTGGGTTACGCCATGTATTGCAGCGTGCAGGACTGGTCCTGGACCGGCGGGGTCCCGGACATCGAGGATTCGGTCCGCATGGCCCTACACCCCTCCGCATCCGTGTGGCCCGGCACCAGACCTCTCCTTCCCTCCGAGCGGGACAGGACGTTTTTGGCTATGCTGGACAGATGTTACGCCAATGCGGCACAGGTCGTCGCTGTGGCAAATAACATGGCCTTCATCACGGGGGCCCTGGATAGGTCGCTCTCTTCTGGCCAGGCGCTCAGTGGAGACACCTTATCACAGGCGAGGACCACCTCAGCGGCGATCCTGCGCATGTGCCAGGCGCTAGCTCTGGATGGTGGCCGCTCCATGGCAGCAGCTCAAGTCGGGGCCAGGCACCTTTGGCTTGGGCTAGCTAACATCAGGGAGGCGGAGAAGAGGCAGCTGCTGTACCTGCCTGTTTCCCAGACGTCCCTCTTCGGCCCGGACATGCAGACCCTGGTGGCTAGACTGGAGACCGCAGCCAAGGACTCGGCTAGCCTAGCCCAGCACCTAGCGCCGAGGCGCGAGGCCCGCCCACCAGCACGGAGCCGGGACAGAGGCAGGGAGCGTTCGCCCGGGAGGCGCTCTGACCCATATCCACGCTCTGTGGCCTATTGTCCCCCCTCGACGAGGCCCCCGGGTCCAGACAGGCCCACGGGAGGCTCGCGGGACCAACGCACCCACCGCCGACCTCCCTATGGCAGAGGAGGTTGGGGTGGGAAGAATTCCTTCAATAAAGGCCGACCGGCATTTCATCATTACTCGCTGTCTGAGTCTCATTTGGGGATATGTAACATGTCAAATAATGTGAATTCTGATTGTGTTACTTCCCGAGCACATAACGTTGCTTCGCTAGGCCTGCAGCCCCCAGAGCAGGGTTTGCAGTGCGCTACGCGAGCTACGAGCTCCGGTCCTCTGATCCATGCTATGCCCTCCCAGAGAGAGGTCAGGCGGAGGGATCTGGTGAGTAGTGATGTGTGTGCTTCGGCCGAACGCGTGTTAGCATCTCTGAGCTACAAGGCTAACACGGGGTCTCCCACTCCAGGGGCTCGCCCCCCCCCCCCCCCCCCCCCCCCCTCCATGAGGCTAGAGCCAAGGTGGGGGCACAGCAGCCGAGTCACGTGGGATGAGCAGTCCCGTACTTATGACGTCGGGCCTGCAGGACACGTGACCGCCCCCGGCGCTCACGGTGTGACGCAGGGGGCCCCCCGGCTCTTTCGGCCACCCCCCTCCCTGCTAGGAACACCAGGAGAGAGCTGGGCCGTGACGTCTCGTGTTCCAGCTCCCGTTCCGCCCCTCACAGACTTCTACAGCATCTGGAGGGAGCAGGGTTTGCTGACGAATCCATGGCTGGAGAAAACATTGCGCAGGGGTTACGCACTGCAATTCTTCCGAAAGCCACCACCGTTCCGAGGCGTACGGGCAGCACGCTCTCAGGTACGGGGATCATTAGAGGCACTACAAGTGGAGGTCTCCTCTCTGCTGAGTCGAGGTGCAGCAGTGGAGGTAGACCCGCAGGACGCCACCAGGGGGCTGTACTCCCCTTACTTCTTAGTGCCAAAGAAGTCAGGCGGGGTGCGTCCCATTTTGGATCTGCGCGTCTTGAACGAGTGCATTTCCAAACGGCAGTTTCGGATGCTGTCCACAAAGCAGCTCCTCGAGTGTGTCAGGCAGGGAGATTGGATGTCCTCCATAGACCTGACAGATGCGTACTTCCACGTGCCGATAGTGCCGGAACACAGGAGGTTCCTGCGCTTCGCAGTGGGAGAGAGGAATTACGAGTACTGCCGTCTCCCCTTCGGCTACGCACTCGCGCCTCGGACTTTTTCCAAGTGCGTGGAGGCAGCTCTGGAGCCGCTCAGACGCGCAGGGGTAAGAATTTTAACCTACATAGACGATTGGTTAATACTGGCCTCATCCAGGGAAGTGGCCGGTAGTCACACGCACTGGGTCCTGTCCCACATACAGCGTCTGGGCTTTGTGGTAAACAGGGAGAAAAGCAAGCTGCAGCCGGCTCAGCGCATGATTTATCTCGGCCTGCAGCTAGACTCTGTGACGGAATGCTGCCCAAGTGGCAGCATCGGACATCAGGTTCTGGCTCACTCCGGGTCTATTGCGGGACGGAGTGACTCTGGCCTGTGCCGTGTCTCACGTGGAGGTGTTCACGGACGCGTCACTCGAAGGATGGGGCGGGGTCCTCGGCCAGAGCTCTGTAGGAGGCTGCTGGTCGGACTCAGCCCGTCACATCAACCTGCTGGAGATGGAGGCAGTGCACAGGGTACTGCTGCACTTTGCTCCTCAGCTGCAGGGGAGACACGTGAGGGTGCGCTCAGACAACACCACAGTGGTCTCCTATCTGAACAGACAGGGGGGCGCCAGGTCCCCCGCTCTCCATCGCATGGCGACGGTGACGCTGCTGTGGGCGGCGCTTCACCTCCTGTCTCTCAGGGCGCGCTACGTCCCGGGGGTCCGGAACGTGGGGGCCGACAGGATGTCCAGGGGGTGCCCACTCCAGGACGAGTGGGGCCTGGCCCCACGGGTAGCTGCGGAGATCTGGCCAGTGGTCGACCTTTTCGCCAGTGCAGAAAACGCACAGTGCCCGTCCTGGTTCGCCTTAAGGGCCGCGGACGAGCCGCTCTTAGCCTGCTGTATGCTTTCCCACCAGTACGTCTCCTGCCGGTCCTGCTGCGGAGGATCGAACAGGAGAGGAGGTCGGTGATCCTGGTGGCTCCAGACAGTCCGCATGCCCGGTGGTTCCCCTTCTTGAGGGGCATGGCGGTGATGGAGCCCTGGGCCCTCCCGGACGAGCCGGGGGCTCTAGTCCAGGGGGGAGGAGCCCTGTTTTCACGCCCGATAATCGGCCGCAGGCTCTGGGTTTGGAGGCTGAGAGGCGGAACCTCGTAGACCTGGGTCTTCCCCCTGCAGTGGTGGAGACCATTCAGGGGGCGAGGGCGCCGTACACTGTGAGGGCCTACGCCACGAGGTGGAGGCTCTTCAGCGACTGGTGCGGTTCTCGTTCCTGGGATCCCAGGCGTTGCCCGCTGGAGGGGGTCTTGGGATTCCTACAGGAGCTTTTTGACAAAGGGAGGGCTGTCGCCACCTTGGCGGTGTTCGCGGCAGCCATTACCTCGGGTCACGACGGATTCGGGGGGTTCACAGCCCGCTCTCATCCGTTGGTTAAACGCTTTCTGCGGGGGGCGCGCAGGAGGAGGCCCCCGCTCCAGAGAACGCCCCCGGTTTGGGACCTCAGGGTGGTCCTTAGGGGGCTGTCGGGTCCGCCTTTTGAGCCGGCGGCGGAGGCGAGTCCCGAGTGTGTCGCTTTTAAGACGGCCCTCTTGCTGGCTGCTAAGAGGGCGGGCGACTTGTGTGCGCTCTCTGTCCATGCGTCTTGCCTGTCTTTTGGAGAGGGCGACGGCATGGTGGAATTGTGGCCCAATCCGGCCTTTCTCCCCAAGGTCATCACGTCGGCCTTTAGGTTGAGAGTCATCAGGATTAGGGCTTTCTATCCGCCACCGCATGCCTCCCCCGAGGAGGAGCGGCGGCACCTTCTGTGTCCTGTCAGAATGCTGAGGCATTACCTGGCCATGACGTCGTCATTCAGGTTGGGTGATCAGTTGTTTGTGTGTCTGGGCCCCAAGAACAGGGGCGCCCCGCTGTCGGCTCAGCGGCTGGCGCACTGGGTCGCCACGGCTGTGCGGCGGGCGTATCAGACGCAGGGTCTGGCCCCCCCGGTGGGCTTCAGGTCGCATTCCACGCGTGGGGTGGCGGCCTCTACGGCCCTCCTCAGGGGGGCGTCGGTCGAGGACGTCTGCCGTGCGGCTTCTTGGGCGTCGTCCTCTTCTTTCGTCCGGTCTTATCTTTTGGATGTGTCGGACCCGTCGGTGGCCCATTCCGTGCTGAGTGCAGCGGACTGAGTTAGACCGTTAGGTCCCTCCTCTGAGGGGGCCTTCGGTTGACTTTCCGCCCTGGTTCAGGAGCTCTTGGGAGAGGCATCCTACAGGTGCGGTACTTATATGTGTGTTTTGGTCGGTCAGGTAGTCCACGTCAGGAGCTCTTGGGAGAGGCGTCCTGGGACTACGGGTGACCTACGGTCTGTGTTACGTGGGGGTATCCTTGGTAGGAGTGGCCCTATAACACGCATTTGTTTCTTCTGCCCTGAGTCCTCTCACTGTGTGAGGGTCTTGCTCGGGCGGAGCTCCAATCACCCTTCGCTGGCCTGCTGGGAGTACATGTTCCTACGGCCTCCGCGTTGTGTCCCACTAGCGAAGTTCTAAGGGACGTAGCACCATGACGTAGAATTAATAGTTACCTAATATAACTTAAGTTCTACGAATAGGTGCGTAGTCCCGTTGCTACGAGCCCATCAGGCCAGCCCGGCTTGGCAGAGTTCAAGAGGGGGTGCGGCTTTGTGCAGGGGCCTTTATAGAGGAGGGTGGCTGGTGATTGGAGCAAATTATTTTGATCCCTCTGGCGTGTGACCTGGGGGTCACGAGTGATATCCCACTAGCGAAGTCCTAAGGGACTACGCACCTATTCGTAGAACTTAAGTTACATTAGGTAACTATTAATTCTCGCAGTACTGCAGAATAAACTAAGACTAAATTCACGTGGGCTACCTAGAAATGTTCCCCATAGAACTCAATGTTCTAAAACAGCTCGACCTCAGCTGACAGAGAACCTACAGCTTTCATAAAGGTCTATACTAAACTTTGATCTGGACTTAAACATGAAACTGGTCTGAACTGAATGAAGTGGTGTTTGGAGTTCATATAAGGTAAGACCATAACACACTTTTAAATGTGCTTTTTACTTTGGCGTTTTGTTTGAGCAAACAATAAGGACCATGAGTGAATAATCCTCTGTATGTCCTGTTGATATGTAGTTTAATCTGATTGTGATGAAGTCAGTGCCTCAGTCACCAACCGCATGTCACTGACAGGCTTTTTACTCCAACGCAATGTTTTTATTAGAACAACTAAGTTAGGGGAAAATGACAAAAACAGACAAACACTTTATTGATTTCCCCGTTTTGAACTGCATCGTCACAAATGCTAGCTTGCTAACCATTGCTGCAGTCGCTTTTTCAACAGTTTATTTTCCTTGATGGCGAATTACGGCCGGTATTTTAAAAAAAATAGACATCTTTGTCTCGCTCTGAGCGTTTACCACAATTAAAGACGCAGCAAAACTTTCCCATCAGCCTAAGTAAAGGTGCGCTCTCGGCCACTGTGTTGAATCTGACTGTATAAAGTTTCACACCTGCCATCTAACATGGCCGCCTAGAGACGGTTGCTATGTAGGTCACATGGTGGTGCAAAACCTCTATTGTGGGGATTTTAGTGTCCCTTGTCATCCTGAACTTTTTTTCTTTTTAAATCCTTTAAATCCACACTTTAGTGCCACAAACTCTGCCCGTCTGGCTCCCGCTCTAATTCCCGCTCTGATGAACTGCTCTGATTGGTCAGAGTGCGGCCGAGCCCCTCTGTGCACGTGCGTGAGGCCTGGACTCCACCGGGCGCGTCTCCGTTGACGCGCGTTGGCTGCTGTTCGTCAGACGTCCGTAAAACGGACTAGTGGTCAAACCGGCTGCAGCAGCAGCTCTGGCTGTGCGTTTATCAGCCTGCTTTGTTTTTGTAGGAGACACGTTTGGGCATTGTGTGAATGAATGAATGTTTGGCTGATGGAGGAGTTATGTATTGTCGGCGTGCATGTGTGCGTGAGCGTGGGCGTGTGCGGAGAGCGCCCGTGTGTGTGTGTGTGTGGTGGGAGGCGTGTGCGTGCATGTGTGTTTGGGCCTGTGACCGCAGCGTTTATTATGATCCAGCCTCTTCGTTTGTTTTCTATACTTATTTAGCGCGTCATACAGTTTTATCGGACCCAACTCGCCTCTCCGCGGCTTTAGGCAACAGGCAGCCGCTATAGTTTTAAATAGAAGAAGCGGTGTGTGATTTGCATGAGCTGTAGCTATGATCTATGCAAAGCACAGCATATTGAAGCATTGAGGACGTCACGATGGATGAGGCAAAACTTATTGAAAGCAATTGGAAAAAGGGGAGAGAGAAAAGAACTCCAACATATCCAGTGTTGTGAGATCTGTCTCTCGTAAGTGCAGCTCTGTGTGTGTGTGAGTGTGAGTGTGTGTGTGTGTGTGTGTGGGAGCGCGCGGCGGTGAGGAGAGAGCGCCTCGGAGGTAGAGGGGACAGAGCGAGAGAAAAAAGAGCGAGGTGTATGTAAAGATTAGCGTATTAACATTACACGAAAAACAAATGGTAGATGTACGATCAGGAAACAATTATTAAAGTAATACATGAAAAAAATTACACACGTTTGTTAATAATCATTGTCATTAACAAATACTTATAACCAAGGACTAGAGCATATATCAATACAGGTTTAATAATGTTGTAAATATAGTATTCCATTGTATTTTCAATGGAAAACGGACCCGACACGCGTCGACGGACGGAACAAATAGGATTGTTTCTATTTCGTCCGTCCGCGTCCGTTGCACCCTCCGTTAACGGAATACGTCCGACGTGCGTCGGACGGACGCATGCGGAGGCAGTGGAGCCACTTCCATTCACCCTCATGGAGATAACGGAGACGGAGATGAAACGGACATGATTGGACGGATCCGTCATCCGTTTTACGCACCCGGTGGAGTCGGGGGCCGGCGACCCCATGTGAGACCCATACACGCGTATTTGGCGCAACGCATCATGGGAGACAATCCACTGGACTTCCCATGGATCTTTGCGAGTTCCAGGCGGGTTCCACTAATCTCTCAGCGTCCGTGCCGGCACAATGCGCCACTGAGCACAAACCATTCATTTGAATACAGCGCCATCTTGGATCGCCGGGGCTTGGTTCAAACACTTAAATACCCGCTCGGCCTTTAGAGAACCAGGACCTTTTGGAGTGCAGGGGGCCACTCCTGAAGACCTTCTATGACTCTGTGGTGGCATCGGCCATCTTGTACGGTGTGGTCTGCTGGAACAGCAGCATCACAGAGAGGGATAGGAAGAAGCTGGACAAGGTCATCAGGAAGTCCAGCTCAGTCCTGGGCTGTTCCCTGGACACAGTGCAGCAGGTGGGGGACAGGAGGGTCCTGAGCAAACTAACATCTATGCTGGACCATGACTGTCACCCCCCTGCAGGGCACTCTCTCTGCTCTGGAGAGCAGTTTCAGTGACAGACTAATTCACCCTCGCTGTGTGAAGGAGAGGTTCCGTAGGTCTTTCCTTCCTGCTGCTGTCAGACTGTACAATAAGAACTGCTGAGCCTGTAAATTTCATTCATCTGTAACTAAGTAAATTCTTAAATCATGTGCAATGCGCAATACTGCAACTTCAATGTCACAGAACAATGTCACTTTACCTCATGTCACTTTACTTATATACTTTTTATCCTGCACTATTTAACTGTACAGTATATAACTGCACTACTACTACATATATATATTTTGACTGGTATTGAAGCATTTTCAGCATCAACAGCTAGTTATGTTAGCTAAGAAACATAGCTACTACTTATTTGTATATATTGTGTGTGATCCCTGTGTGCTCTTACTACTGTCCTATATGTGCGATGCAACATCGAAATTTCCCTACTGTGGGACGAATAAAGGAATTCTTATCTTATTAAGAGGGACTAAAGGAGTAGAGTAGAGTAGAGTAGAGTAGAGTAGAGTAGGGCTAAGTAGGGCCGGTGGAAACAACGCTATTCTCAATAGACTCACCAGCTTTGGCCTCAACGGCTGGAGCAGAAGTGATCAGACTGTAAGCAGCACTAGTAAGAGACTAAAAAACAAAACGTCTTAATACAGGATTTTTACAAAAAATGTAGTTACAATATTGTAAATAAACTAGAACGGTTTAAAGGAGAAATATTTTGTATTATTTTAGCCAATATAAATGATAATGAGACTATTTACTTTCATTTCATGTTTTAGAATGTGAATAATATAAGGTGAAACATGAATAAAAGGTAAAAAATGCTTTCCACCTGTAACACCCTGTGCTGCCACCAGAGGGAGCAGAAGCATCTTGGGACAATACTTTTGTTGTAAAAGGAAGAAAACGGCTCTGAGTGTGACGTCAAAGTGCTACAATGACATCAAACAATTACAGGACTGAGACAGGAGCTGTATAGTTCCTGATGTTAGCGTGGATGGATCTAAAAAGTTTATTTATCAGAATATTTCTCCTTTAAAGTTCTTTGTTCTCTTACCTCGCTGCTGTTGGGAATCTGTGCGTTTGCGGCCTCTTAAAAAAATACTAAAAGTCACATATTTGTTAATATTTACTGTTTATGAAAGTGTGATTTACCTGAGTCAGCGTCTTGTCTGCGGGAAAAAGGAAAATGGATCAAAATTAACATGTGTGAGATGTGTTTCTTTGTAATTTGAAAGTAAAGTAAATAAGATTAAAAAAATATATAAAATCCATCCATCCATTTTCTTTTGCTTCATCCGTTGCCGGGTCACGGGGCAGCAGTCTCAGTAAAAACGCCCAGACTTCCCTATCCACACACACTTCTTCCAGCTCATCGGGACCCCAAGGCGTTCCCAGGCCAGAGAGAGACATTGTCCCTCTTTGTCCAGGAGGCATCCGGACCAGATGCCCGAGCCACCTAAACTGGTTCCTCTCGACGTGGCTCCTACTGTGAGACTGAGCCCCTCACCCTAAGGGTGATCTGGCAGCCACTCAGCCAGATCAACCCGTAAATTGAGAGCTTTGCCTTTCGGCTCAGCTCCATCTTTACCACAACGGCCCAATACAGTGACCGCATCACTCCATCCTTCCCTCACTTGTGAACAAGATCCCGAGATACTTGAGCTCCTCCACTTGAGGAAGGACCTATCCACCTGGAGAGGACTAGGAGAGGACCAGGAGAGGACCAGGACTTGGAGAGGGCACCATTTTTTTCCCCTCCCCCCCACCCCCCCCCGTCGAGCACCATGACCTCCGATTTGGGCAGGTGGCTGATTCTCAATCTCCATGCCCGCTTCACACCTTGTGCTGCATTCCTTCCCAGTTGTTTGTTGCAGGTCCTGGTTCGTTGGAGCAAACAGGGACAACCCTCATCCTCAACAGCAGAGATTAAATTCTGTGGTCTCTAAACCTCCGGCCCCTGGCTGCGCCTAGAAATTCTATCCATAATGACAGTGGACAGAACTGTTGACAAAGGGCAGCCTTGGTGGAGGCCAACATGCACCGTGAACAGGTCTGACTTACTGCCGGCAATGCGAACACAGCTCTGACTCCAGCATACGGGGACTGGACAGCCCTCAGCAGAGGACACTCAAAGAATGCCTCAGGGAAAACGGTCAAACACCTTCTCTGATGGAGAGTATGGAGCTGGTGCAGTGTTCCGCGACTGGGGCGAAAACCACACTACTCCTGAATCCGAGATTCGACCATCGGCCGTAGCCTCCTCTCCAGGACCTTGGGAACACACCCTCCGGTTCCCCTTCTTGTAGAGAGGGACCACCACCTCGGTCTGCCACTCCATTGGCACCGCCCCCGATGGTGCCAAGACGTGTCAGGCAAGACAGTCCTACAACATCCAGAGACTTTAGAGCCTTGCCACCAAGGAGGCTGCCAACCACCTTGGTGACTTTAGCCAGGGAGATGGAAGCATCCGCCCCAACATCCTCAGACTCAGAGGACGTGACGAGGGGAAGTAGTTCTTCTCGCAAAATTTCTGCCAATTTTGTGAAGTTTTCCGTCACAAAATTGCCAGAATCTCTTTGAGGCCAGAACAACAGTGAGAGACTTGTTCCCACCCGGAGGTGGAGGGATTTGACGCTCTCATTCACCGGGGAGAACTCCCAACACGTGGGGTAAGGCCCGGCCACCAGACGCTCGCATACGAGCCGCAACTCCTATCCATGGTGGTCTTCGGACTGCGCTTTGTTTGACTCGTCAGTTAAGGTGGCAGTCCAACAAGAAAAAAAGGAAATAAAACAAAATAAGAAAACCACTTTTATACTTCTGGCCCCAACCAGCTCTTATGTTTATAAAATAGGCCCAGACCAAAGAGTTTGAAAGCCCGCTCTACCCCTCTGGCACCAATCAGACCTGATTGCAGGAGCAGATGAATCCACGTCCTGCTCCAGTCGCTGATGAGAGATCTGTGTCTCCTCTTCGAGATGCTGCAGGTTCAATTCCCGGCTGCTCCTTTCAAATTACAACAGAATACAATCCTCTATTTGTATTTTACCCACATTAGTTTTGATTTCAATCTTGAAGGAATGTAAAGCCTGAAGTAGAGCTCCAGGTTATTGGACAAAAGTGTGATATGTGATAGTGATGTCAAGTGATGTAAAAACATTGGTAACTTTAAATTACCCTCACTAATTAAGTGCTAATTAGTGTACCCTAACAATAACACTCACCCACAAGGGAACGTGTCAGTTAGTCAGATAATGCATAACACAGCCTATATATAGATCACTAGATTCTTACTTGTTGTGGTGTGATTTTGCGCCTGCAAGATAAAACAGGATTACATGAGACATTATTATCAGTTTGTGTATGTTTTCTGAGTCTGATTGTGATGTCACCGTGTGCAGCGTTAGTGCAGATCAGCGTCAGCACCAGGATAACTCCGCCCAGAATCACTCCACACACACACAGCAGCAGCAGCAGCCTCCAGACCGCACTCTCTGCAACACAACAGGACGCTAAATACATACAATACAATGCTTAAAGATCCAGGCTTAGTGTGAATACTTATGATCAGACATTATAACAGTTAAGCAAACAAATGTACATAATAAATATATATATGTACTTGAAATTCTCCCAGTCTCTGTTTCAAAGACCATCATTGTGGTGGTTGACTCTTCTGATTGAGGATCTGAGGAAAAAGGTTTGTAAATTAGAATATGATCAAGATAATTTAAAAAGACCAGGATATCTCTGTTCTATCGCTCATTTAGGTGAGACAGTGTCAACTACGTCAAATCAATTCAATTCAATATATTTTTGTATAGCCCTTTATCACAACAAAAGTAATCTTTGAAGACTTTACAAAGTTGTCGATTCGCCAACACAGATCAGAAAATTTAGCAATTGAGACACAGAAAATGCAACGATCAGAGCTTGCACAACAAAGGGAGGTTCTGCATTCCTTTGATAAAGAGAATACTGTGTGTGTGTATGCCAGTAGTGTATGCCTTTTGTTTTCAAAGGCAGGTGTTTGTTACATCGTTGTATGGAGATTTTTGATCAGTGTGAATTAAGTCACACACAAATCAGTTAAGGAGTGTGAAGATGTGTTTATGCTGATTCATTACAGAAGTCTAGAAATAAAAGGTCTGTTTTTGATGAGGAACCAGAACTAAAAGGAATCATTCTACAATGTTATTTCTATTTTACCTGTAGTTTCTTGTTTGGTGTCACCCCCTGTCACAGAAGTGGTCAGTGGCTCCAACCCGGCTGTGGTCTCATGGGGCCGGTTCTTTGGAAAGGAAGCTTCCAAAAAAAGATTTAAAATGTTTTTTTAATAGATGAAGTGAGTAGATTCAGTGTGTGAGTCTGTAGGAAGTGTGTGTTTGTAAATGTAGTATGTGTGTGTATGTAACAAACAATATCTGACTGAACCCAAACACAGGCGAAGTCTTAATCCTGTTAGATCTGAGTGCAACAGACATTGTCGACCATGAGATCCTCTTACAGAGACTAGAGGACTGGGTTGGTGTCGCTGGAACCGGCCTAAGTTGGTTTAGGTCTTGCCTTGAAGACAAGAAGTACTTTGTGGAGATTAGAAACTGTGTCTCAGATCATATGGCCCTGACCTGTGCTGTGAAACAGCCTCCTCTGTTCGGTTTCCTAACGCTTGTGTTTTCACTTGAAACACGTCTCTGTGTGAACGAACGGCCAATCCAATACCAACTCTATCGTATTACGTCACAGCGTCTCTGTTTAAACAGGGCCTAAAGCAAGTATCTTCATGGCCTCACACCAAAGTACATCAGTGACATGTTACTGCCGCATGAACCAACTGGGACGTTGAGGAGCCCAGGGACTTGCCTCCTGCTGGTACAGGGAGAAAGCAGTTCAGATTTATGCAGCTAAAATCTGGAGCAGTCTTCCTGAAAATGTGAGACGGGCTTCTTCTCTGACAATGTTCAAATCCATCCATCCATCCATTTTCTTTCGCTTCATCCGTTGTCGGGTCGCGGGGGCAGCAGTCTAAGCAGAGACGCCCAGACTTCCCTTCCACACACACTTCCTCCAGCTCGTCCATAGGGACCCCAAGGCGTTCCCAGGCCAGCTGAGAGACATAGTCCCTCCAGAGTGTCCTGGGTCTTCCCCGGGGCCTCCTCCCGGTGGGACGTGCCTGGAAGAGAACCGAAACAGATGCCCGAGCCACCTCAACTGGTTCCTCTCGACGTGGAGAAGCAGCGGCTTCTACCCTATCTATAAGGGAGCACCCAGCCACTCTGCGGAGGAAGCTCATTTCGACCGCTTGTATCCGCGATCTCGTTTTTTCGGTCATTACCAAAAGCTCATGACCATAGGTGAGGGAGGGAACGAAGATTGACTGGTAAATTGAGAGCTTTGCCTTTCGGCTCAGCTCCCTCTTTACCACGACGGTCCGATACAGCGACAGCATCACTGCGCACGCTGCACCGATCCGCCTGTCAATCTCACGCTCCATTCTTCCCTCACTCGTGAACAAGACCCCGAGATACTTGAACTCCTCCACTTGAGGAAGGAACACTCCCCCCACCGTAAGAGGGCAAGGCACCATTTTCCGGTCGAGCACCATGGCCTCAGATTTGGAAGTGCTGATTCTCATCCCAGAGCATGTTCAAATCCAGGTTTAATAATACTGTATAGGTTCATTATACTTTCACTCCAAACACGGTGGTGATAAACTACTACTGTAGCCACAACTGCCCTGGGAGACACTGACAAAAGCGAGGCAACCAGTCTGTGCCATCAGCCCACCACCACCAACCATTCACACACACACCAGACTCATTCTAATGTGGGTGAATTGCCTTGCCTAAGGACACAACAAGAGTCGCTCTACTGTGGCCCCTGATGTTCCCAGAGGGCGAGTTTGGCCTCAGACAGTTCTGTTTCGCTGCTACAACTGAGGGATTGTGTCTTCACTCTTCTCAATGTACTGTGATTATTTATGTTTTTAATGTGTTGTGTGTTTGTTTCTTGTTTTGTTCAGCACTTTGAGTTTCTTTGTGTATGAACTGTGCTGTACAAATAAACTTTTGTTTTCAACAGCAGGTGTTCATTACATCATTGTCTTGGAATTTGAAAATAGTGTAATGAGTTTGTCAGTTTTTAGACCAAATATGCGAGGAGATGTTTTATTTTTTTTTAAGGAGAATCCAGGACCAGTTTCACCTGTAGTTTCTTGTTTGGTGTCACCTCCTGTCACAGAAGTGGTCAGTGGCTCCAACCCGGCTGTGGTCTCATGGGGCCGAGCCTCTGGTAAGAAAGCTTTAATAACAAATATTAAAATGCATGTTTTAAATACATCTGTGATCATGTCTACTCTGAACTCACCGCTCATGTCAAATGCATCACTGCGAAGAGATTTCACTCCTCCTTCTAAACTGTAGTCACAACTGACGTCTTTTGTCGTCAACACATCAAAACTTCTCTGCAAATCGTCCCAAGGGATAAAAAAACTGCACTCCTGTTTGTTTGGCCTTATCTTCCTGATGTTTGCTAAGTAATTAGGGCGCAGTGACTCCCCAAAGTACAAGTGACACATCCGAGCGGGTTTAACAGATTCAGGCAGAGAGCAGACGGCGGTGACCTGCTCAGTCCCAACAACAACACTGACTTCTGGTCTTGAACCTAGAATGAGATAAAAAATGTACAGCTGTTGACGATTTCTTCCTCTCATTCACAAACATGTTGAAAAAGTGTCGACCCTGGACAACAATGGGAAAGGTTAGAGTGTTGTTTGGGAAGACAATAATGTGTCAAAATAAACTTTCAACTTTCCAATAAGTCTTCTAAAGTCACAGTGCAGTGCAGCCAGGACCAGAGGATCACATTATAATGGACCACGGTGAGTTTCTCATCCACGTGAGAACTTAAAAAATGTCCACTCAGAACTTTAATAATCCACTCAGCACTCTCGCTATACAAGGACAACTTTATATAGTTTGCATGTGCAATAGCCCAATCACTGACAGTGAGAGCTTCATTCACCCAAACACGGCTCCACGGCTCGTTACGCTGTCATTATGTTGCTCAGTGTGTTAAGAATGGGTGTTTTTGCTCAGTAGGAAAGAAGCTATGTATGAAAACAGTACTCTCTGCTCAAAAACCATTTGTATCCTGTGAAATCAGGGTTACACAGTCTCCTCTGACCGTCACCATCGTGCCTCACCCTGTTCTCACTCACTTTTGGAGATGTTCTTTTCTGAATGTGGATGATTTTACATTTCTAACATACACACATTTTATTCTCACTTACTTATAATAGTGACAGTTTGTCTGCTGCTGTACGGTGAATAAGACTTTTTGTCATTGACTTGATAAAAACACATTATGTCCAGACGAGCTGGAGGACTGTGTTTCTCTGTGAGCAGCTGTGATCCTGTCACAGTCCAGACACATGTGGAGCTGCTGCTGCTGATGTCCACACTGAAGCCACACTGGGACACAGAGACAGAGGCTGGAGGACGACACTGCAGAGTGACGGTCTCAGACGCTGTGATCACTGATGGAACTACGGCCAAAGAAGGAGGAGCCAGGTCTGTGAAGAGAACACATCTGTTTCATAGTCATGTATAAAGAAGAACAGTGCTAACCTGCTGGCTCTATGAAACCTGACAGGGAAGTTTCAATTCCCTGCTACTCAAGATGTTCAATGTTTTTTTTATTTTTTGTCCCATTTTTTTCATGGTAATGCAAAAAAATATCACAGCATTGACAGCACGAAGCATTGAGCCGGGAGCTGACTTTTGGACCATCCTGTAAAGACGTTTTTGAGAGGAAAGAAGGCACCATTATGGTGCTTTCAGACCGGAACATGCGTTGCGTCGGGTTTCAATGCAAAGTCTATGGTGGCGCGTGTTCGACCGTCACAACGCATGGACCTCTCGGCACGCACGAACGGACTGCTCAGTAGAGACGCACGGACTTGGCGGGAAAGTGAAAAAGGAGGAGCAGGAGCAAAAAATCAACGCCCACAGGAGATGGTTCTACGTCATGGTGCTACGTCCCTTAGGACTTCGCTAGTGGGATATCACTCGTGACCCCCAGGTCACACGCCAGAGAGATCAAAATAATTTGCTCCAATCACCAGCCACCGTCCTCTATAAATGCCCCTGCACAAGGCCGCACCCCCTCTTTCACTCTGGCGCCGATTGAGATCTACCACAGTACTTACTTCCAGAGAAAAGATGTCTTCTGATGCTCGTCCGAGTTCCCCTTCGCCCTCCGGCGTCGGACCTCGTCGTTGCTCGATGTGTCGAGTCAGGCTTCAGCGCACGGACCAGCACTCCAGCTACTTCATGTGCCTGGGCCCGGGCCATGCGGCGTTGAGCGCCACCTGCACCTCGTGTCTCGCTCTCCCCAGGGAGGAGAGCGAACGCAGGCATGCGTTCCTCGCCGCTGCAGCGCCCCGTCCGGACTCCTCTCAGGACGAGGAGTCTGAGACTGACTGGGCCCCACTCGACCTTCCACCCATGCCCGCGGAGTGGGGTGACTGTGAGGACGGAGAGGTTTCGGAGGTCGGCTCTCTCCTCACGCTGGACGAGGTGGTGTCGATCCCGGAGCCGGACCGCTTCCCACTGGACCACATGCCTGGGCTCTACTCCTCTGCGGCGGCCATCATGGATGCCCCCCTGCCACCGCAGCCGACCCAGAGGGTGGAGGACTTCACCTCTGGTTACGCCACCACTCGAGGGAGGAGGAGGACACAGCCCACGTTGTGCCCGCGGATGGACCCGATCGTCCATTACGCGACACGTGAGTGGCCAAAGCCCCTAGCAGCCAAGAGGCCCGCTTTGGGCTACGGCATGTACTGCAGCGTGCAGGACTGGTCCTGGACCGGCGGGGTCCCGGACATCGAGGATTCGGTCCGCATGGCCCTTCACCCCTCCGCATCCGTGTGGCCCGGCACCAGACCTCTCCTTCCCTCCGAGCGGGACAGGACGTTTTTGGCTATGCTGGACAGATGTTACGCCAATGCGGCACAGGTCGTCGCTGTGGCGAACAACATGGCCTTCATCACGGGGGCCCTGGATAGGTCGCTCTCCTCTGGCCAGGCGCTCAGTGGAGACACCTTATCACAGGCGAGGACCACTTCAGCGGCGATCCTGCGCATGTGCCAGGCGCTAGCTGTCGATGGCGGCCGCTCCATGGCAGCAGCTCAAGTCGGGGCCAGGCACCTTTGGCTTGGGCTTGCTAACATCAGAGAGGCGGAGAAGAGGCAGCTGCTGGACCTGCCTGTTTCCCAGACGTCCCTCTTCGGTCCGGATATGCAGACCCTGGTGGCTAGACTGGAGACCGCAGCCAAGGACTCGGCTAGCCTAGCCCAGCACCTAGCGCCCAGGCGCGAGGTCTGCCCACCAGCACGGAGCCGGGACAGAGGCAGGGAGCGTTCGCCCGAGAGGCGCCCTGACCCATATCCACGCTCCGTGGCCTATCGTCCCCCCTCGACGAGGCCCCCGGGTCCAGACAGACCCACGGGAGGCTCGCGGGACCAACGCACCCACCGCCGACCTCCCTATGGCAGAGGAGGTCGGGGTGGGAAGAATTCTTTCAATAAAGGCCGACCGGCATTTCATCATTACTCGCTGTCTGAGTCTCATTTGGGGGTATGTAACATGTCAAATAATCTTGTGAATTCTGATTGTGTTACTTCTCGAGCACATAACGTGGCTTCGCTAGGCCTGCAGCCCCCAGAGCAGGGTTTGCAGTGCGCTACGCGAGCTACGAGCTCCGGTTCACTGGTTCATGCTATGCCCTCCCAGAGAGAGGTCAGGCGGAGGGATCTGGTGAGTAGTGGTGTGTGTGCTTCGGCCGAACGCGTGTTAGCATCTCTGAGCTACAAGGCTAACCCGGGGTTTCCCACTCCAGGGGCTCGCCCCCCCCTCCATGAGGCAAGGGCCAGGGGGGGGCACAGCAGCCGAGTCACGTGTGATGAGCAGTCCCGTACTTATGACGTCGGGCCTGCAGGACACGTGACCGCCCCCAGCGCTCACGGTGTGACGCAGGGGGCCCCCCGGCCCTTTCGTCCACCCCCCCTCCCTGCTAGGAACACCAGGAGAGGGCGGGGCCGTGACGTCTCGTGTTCCAGCTCCCGTTCCGCCCCTAACAGACTTCTACGACATCTGGAGGGAGCAAGGTTTGCTGACAGATCTATGGCTGGAGAAAACATTGCGCAGGGGTTACGCACTGCAATTCTTCCGAAAGCCACCACCGTTCCGAGGCGTATGGGCAGTACGCTCTCAGGTACGGGGATCATTAGAGGCACTACAAGTGGAGGTCTCCTCTCTGCTGAGTCGAGGCGCGGCAGTGGAGGTAGACCCGCAGGACGCCACCAGGGGGCTGTACTCCCCTTACTTCTTAGTGCCAAAGAAGTCAGGCGGGGTGCGTCCCATTTTGGATCTGCGTGTGTTGAACGAGTGCATTTCCAAACGGCAGTTTCAGATGCTGTCCACAAAGCAGCTCCTCGAGTGTGTCAGGCAGGGAGATTGGATGTCCTCCATAGACCTGACAGATGCGTACTTCCACGTGCCGATAGTGCCGGAACACAGGAGGTTCCTGCGCTTCGCAGTGGGAGAGAGGAATTACGAGTACTGCCGTCTCCCCTTCGGCTACGCACTCGCGCCTCGGACTTTTTCCAAATGCGTGGAGGCAGCACTGGAGCCGCTCAGACGCGCAGGGGTAAGAATTTTAACCTACATAGACGACTGGTTAATTCTGGCCTCATCCAGGGAAGTGGCCGTGAGCCACACGCACTGGGTCCTGTCCCACATACAGCGTCTGGGCTTTGTGGTGAACAGGGAGAAAAGCAAGCTGCAGCCAGCTCAACGCATGATTTATCTCGGTCTGCAGTTAGACTCTGTGACATTCCATGCTGCATTGTCCGTGGACAGACGGATGAACATTACCCGTCTGGCCAGGGAGGTTCTGGCGGGCCCCAGAGTCCCCGCTCGGCGCCTCAGGTCCCTGTTGGGAATGATGGCGGCGGCTCATGCTGTGGTGCGGCTAGGCCTTCTCCACATGAGGAATTTTCAGAGGTGGTTCTCACGCCTCAGGCTTCACCCCTCCCGGGACGGGGGGTGGCTGATCTGGGTTCCCCAAGTGGCAGCATCGGACATCAGGTTCTGGCTCACTCCGGGTCTATTGCGGGACGGAGTGACTCTGGCCTGCGCCGTGTCTCACATGGAGGTGTTCACGGACGCGTTGCTCGAAGGATGGGGCGGGGTCCTCGGCCAGAGCTCTGTAGGAGGCTGCTGGTCGGACTCAGCCCGTCACATCAACCTGCTGGAGATGAGGCAGTGCACAGGGTACTGCTGCACTATACTCCTCAGCTGCAGGGGAGACACGTGATGGTGCGCTCAGACAACACCACAGTGGTCTCCTATCTGAACAGGCAGGGGGGCACCAGGTCCCCCGCTCTCCATCGCATGGCGACGGTGACGCTGCTGTGGGCGGCGCATCACCTCCTGTCTCTCAGGGCGCGCCACGTCCCGGGGGTCCGGAACGTGGGGGCTGACAGGATGTCCAGGGGGGGCCAAACCTCCGCCAGATCTCCGCAGCTACCCGTGGGGCCTGGGTAGCTGCGGAGATCTGGCGGAGGTTCGGCCGTCCAGTGGTCAACCTTTTCGCCAGTGCAGAAAACGCACAGTGCCCGTCCTGGTTCGCCTTAAGGGCCGCGGACGAGCGGCCCTTAGGCGTGGACGCTCTGGCTCATTACCCCTGGCCAGGGGGCCTGCTGTACGCTTTCCCACCAGTGCGTCTCCTGCCGGTCCTGCTGCGGAGGATCGAACAGGAGAGGAGGTCGGTGATCCTGGTGGCTCCGGACAGTCCGCATGCCCGGTGGTTCCCCTTCCTGAGGGGCATGGCGGTGATGGAGCCCTGGGCCCTCCCGGACGAGCCGGGGGCTCTAGTCCAGCTTCCCGATTACCTGTTTTCACGCCCGATAATCGGCCGCAGGCTCTGGGTTTGGAGGCTGAGAGGCGGAACCTCGTAGACCTGGGTCTTCCCCCTGCGGTGGTGGAGACCATTCAGGGGGCGAGGGCGCCGTCCACTGTGAGGGCCTACGCCACGAGGTGGAGGCTCCTCAGCGACTGGTGCGTTTCCTGTTCCTGGGATCCCAGGCGTTGCCCGCTGGAGGGGGTCCTGGGATTCCTACAGGAGCTCTTTGACAAGGGGAGGGCTGTCGCCACCTTGGCGGTGTTCGCGGCAGCCATTACTTCGGGTCACGACGGTTTCGGGGGGTTCACAGCCCGCTCTCATCCGTTGGTTAAACGTTTTCTGCGCGGGGCGCGCAGGAGGAGGCCCCCGCTCCAGAGAACGCCCCCGGTTTGGGACCTCAGGGTGGTCCTTAGGGGGCTGTCGGGTCCGCCTTTTGAACCGGCGGCGGAGGCGAGTCCCGAGTGTGTCGCTTTTAAGACGGCCCTCTTGTTGGCGTTGGCGTCTGCTAAGAGGGCGGGCGACTTGTGTGCGCTCTCTGTCCATGCGTCTTGCCTGTCCTTTGGAGAGGGCGACGGCATGGAGGAATTGTGGCCCAATCCGGCTTTTCTCCCCAAGGTCATCACGTCGGCCTTTAGGTCGAGAGTCATCAGGATTAGGGCTTCTATCCGCCACCGCATGCCTCCCCCGAGGAGGAGCGGCGGCACCTTCTGTGTCCTGTCAGAATGCTGAGGCATTACCTGGCCATGACGTTGTCATTCAGGTTGGGTGGTCAGCTGTTTGTGTGTCTGGGCCCCAAGAACAGGGGCGCCCCGCTGTCGGCTCAGCGGCTGGCGCACTGGGTCGCCACGGCTGTGCGGCGGGCGTATCAGACGCAGGGTCTGGCCCCCCCGGTAAGCTTCAGGTTGCATTCCACGCGTGGGATTGCGGCCTTTACGGCCCTTCTCAGGGGGGCGTCGGTCGAGGACGTCGGTCGAGGACGTCTGCCGTGCGGCTTCTTGGGCGTCGTCCTCCTCTTTCGTCCGGTCTTATCTTTTGGATGTGTCGGACCGGTCGGTGGCCCATTCCGTGCTGAGTGCAGCGGACTGAGTTAGACCGTTAGGTCCCTCCTCTGAGGGGGCCTTCGGTTTACTTTCCGCCCTGGTTCAGGAGCTCTTGGGAGAGGCATCCTACAGGTGCGGTACTTATATGTGTGTTTGGTCGGTCAGGTAGTCCTCGTCAGGAGCTCTTGGGAGAGGCGTCCTGTGACTACGGATGACCTACGGTCTGTGTTACGTGGGGGTATCCTTGGTAGGAGTGGCCCTGTAACACGCATTGTTTCTTCTGCCTTGAGTCCTCTCACTGTGTGAGGGTCTTGCTCGGGCGGAGCTCCAATCACCCTTCGCTGGCCTGCTGGGAGTACATGGCCCTACGGCCTCCGCGTTGTGTCCCACTAGCGAAGTCCTAAGGGACGTGGCACCATGACGTAGAATTAATAGTTACCTAATGTAACTTAAGTTCTACGAATAGGTGCGTAGTCCCTTAGCTACGAGCCCATCAGGCCAGCCCGGCTTGGCAGTGTTCAAGAGGGGGTGCGGCCTTGTGCAGGGGCATTTATAGAGGACGGTGGCTGGTGATTGGAGCAAATTATTTTGATCTCTCTGGCGTGTGACCTGGGGGTCACGAGTGATATCCCACTAGCGAAGTCCTAAGGGACTACGCACCTATTCGTAGAACTTAAGTTACATTAGGTAACTATTAAATTCTGCTCATCCTTTCCTTGGGACGTTCGCGCGACAACCAATCAGAGAGCAGCAAAGTGGTCACGGGGACAATAGCGGACTGAGCGAGCAGACTGAAAATACTCAGCCAAAACAGGACCCACACCAGACTTCACCAGAACTCAAACCAGGGTTGACAATGGGGGACTGTGTGCTTGTGAAAATACGCGTTGTCATGCTCCCGTGACCTTATGCAACTGTTTCGAGTGTGTTCGCCGATGCGGAAATTGCGTTTAATAATATGAAAAAACCTATGGCGCACCTCCGTGAACACATATTACTGTTTTATAAAGCCCGTGGAATGTCTGTGAGCATATTGGAGAAGATCTGTAAACAAGAAGCCGCTAGCATAGCTCTGTTAGCATCAGAGCCGGCCGGCTACTTCCGGTACTTCCGGCTCGCGTCAGGATGTTCTGGTGTGAAGACCCCTGCGTCTGAAAACTAGAGAATGCGCGTCTGGTGAGCAGGGCTTCAGCGTTTCAGCGTTGGCGGTGTGAAAGCCCCGTTAGACTCCACTGGATAATTCTGTTTCCGGGTACACCCCACCAACAAGGACTCATAATACAAGCATGACAAAGAACATGCTCATAGACCTTTTTGATCCGGGACCCGCCCACACTGGTATACTCGCACATTGGAGACGAAAATATGGGAAGAAGTGATGCATGTTGGTCATGTCTCAGCCTCAAGCTGCAGTAGGTGTGCAGTGGATCTACTTCCACAAGATCAGAGGAACATGAGAGCTCTGACCAATCAAAGTAACGCTAACGACCGCATCGCTGCATCAATCCGCTTAACCTCACGCTTCATCCTTCCCTCACTCAGGGTGTGAACAACACCCTGAGATACCTGCACTCCTCTGCTTGAGGAAGGACCTCTCCATCAAGAGAGGGCAAGGCACCTTTTCCCAGTCGAGTACTATGACCTCGGATTTGGGGGTGTGGCCCCATTGTGATAATGTCTTTGTAAATCCAGAAGTGACCAACCAGTTGCTTTTGTCTCTGAAATTGGCTCTTTGGTTGCTCGGTTGTTGCTACCACTGACTATAATCTGCTTTTTCTGTGATCAGATAAATGCTATCAGTGTCGGTGCACGTTAGCCTCTGATGTAAACTGATACTGTGGTGATGTCTTTCTTCTTGGTTATTACGCTGAAACATTGTGTGATTTAGTGAATCTCTGGTAGATGCAGCAGTGACATAAAAGAAAAAGCCAAACCTCTCATAGCGATGGACAGAAAGTTACTTTGTGGGGACCAGTGTTGAACCACTTTTGGGCGATAATGACAGATCACATTCACATCAGTTACAGATGGATTTTTCACTTTCGACAGCAGCACACGTCTGCTCAGTCTGGTCCGACACGGAAGCTGTTCGTACTGTGAAGATTCAAAACTGAACACACACTCGGGATTGTAATGTGAAGTCTGACAGTGGAACTCAACCACGTCTGCCTCCGTGAGAGCCTCCTTGTCTGCGATTAGAAGTGGAGCAGGAAGAAGAACTGCACCAAAGAAAAAAAGACTTATAAATGTTACCAACAAATATGTTGTTAAAGGACTTGATGTACTCACCTTGTCCCGCACACACATAATGGACCCCTGTTGAAGAAATGGAATATTAGTGGATTATTAGTGTTTGCTTAAAGCTGCACTAACTGACTTTGGGATTTTGAAGCAGCAGACTCGCTGGCCTCTCTCTTTCTGCTTCCCTCCCCGCACCCACGAAGCTATCTCCCCCCACACACACTCACTGTTGGGACGAAGCTAGCGTCTCCCAATATGGATAATATATGGATAAGGATTTGCACGTGGATGGCGTGACCATAGAACGATAGAACCGGGAAGCGCGGAGGAACGAGACTTTCTTTTGGATGGCTGTCTTGCTGTGTAAGCAGTAACCGGTGATGAAGAGACGAAGCTTCAGGTTAGCTCCTCGTCTTGTTGTGCTAACTCAGCCGTCTATGCTAACGGAGACCTGTAGATTTCTCACAAAAGTGGGGGCCAGTGGTCCGCGGTGATTGTTCACAATCCGCGACCCGAAACACATTCTCTTCCTTGTTTCATCAAAACTCGATCTAAAATATAATGTCACGCCAGCACAAATCTGCGCTACTTTTTCGTCAAAAGGACGTATATCCCAATGCACTGCATGGACATGGATAGCATTTTCGTAATGAATACAAAAATAAAGTCAGTTAGTGCAGCTTTAAAGCTTGCTCTAAAACAGTTTGTTTGTGTTTTTAGGCCTCTGTCACATCAGCTTTTTTCAGACAGACCACCCTCATTCAGCCTCTTAGTCCAAATCGATACAGATCTTTCTTACACATGTTTTCTAATGACATGAAGACACAAGCTGTGGTCTCGCAGATTGTCCCCTGATGGTGTAATTAGTTTATACATACCATCAACCATAAAACATAAACTAAACCCTAACCCTAACCCTAAGATTTTCAGTCAAAACCAAACAGTCAGGAACAGGTTTAACTCTAAATTCACGACTAAAACATTTCTTAGAGATTTTACATGTGATCTGCCAAATGGTACTATTGTTTTCATATATCAGAAGATCCCTTCAGACGCCAGCTTTACTCCTCTTGATAATTCCTTTAAAACGATTAATTTAATTTATTGGCTGTCAGAATCTGAATAATTTTTATTGCCACGTAAGTAACAGGAAGTCACAGACTTGGAAATAGCTTTGGCTCAGTGCAACAGTCAGAAAGAGAGAATACAAAATAAAGAATAAAAAACACTTCTAAGGAATAAATGTAAATTTGAAATAACATTTAAAATAGAGTTACAATTACTATATACAATACAGTGCACATGGTGCACACAATGTAAGGTGACAGCAGTACAGTGAAGTAAAGTGACGTATGATGGGCAGTAAAGTGACATTATAAAGAGCAGTAGGGGACTTCTAGAGGGCGGGGAGGTTAAGAAGTGTTCAAGTGTTCAAGAGTCCAGCAGCAGAGGGGAAGAAACTGTTCTTGTGGCAGGAGGCTCTAGTCCTGATGGACCGCAGCCTCCTGCCTGAGGGGAGTGGTTGGAATAGTCCATGTGCAGGTGAGAGGGGTCGGCTGGAGTCATTTACGACAGTGAGAGACAGAAGGACAGTGGAAAAACTGCTCTCCATCATGGACAATCCTACACATCCACTCCACCAGACTATAGAGGGGCACAGGAGCTCCTTCTAAAACAGACTCCTACAGCTGCCACAGTGAGCGGTACAAGAGCATGTTCATGCCACACTCCATCCTGCTGTAACAAGTCACCGCTCTGTGACAGATACATCTGCTTTGTCCTTGTTGTATATTAACAGATGTTTACTATCCTATTATCTCTGTATTTTATTCTGTAAATGTTTCTGTGAATTCCTGAGAATCTAAATCCATATTATTCTATTCTTATAATATTATCTTATTATTATTATCTTCAGATTGTTACTTTAATGTTGTTTTTATTTTGAAACACTATACAAGCTTGTGGATCAATAAAGTCTGTCTAAGTTTAAGTCTATTTTTCCCTCTGCACAACTTCACGCTTATGATTAGAGTAAATGAGTCATCAGAGGCCAAAACTACAGGCTCTCAGCTTCAAGAGTCCAGCCACTTGTTCCAAAGGGTTCAAAAACTAAAGCTCAGTTGTTGAGTTATGTCTGTATGGATCTGAATTCTCCATGCATGTTGTGAGGAAGAATATAAAGATATATGATCATAAATGTGAACTCACCGAGGAAGAGGAAGAGCAGACGTGTGTCCATGCTGCAGGCGACAGTTCAGAGTCAGAAAGAACTCAGCTTTGACCTTAGACAGAGGAAGTGAGAGACCACCGCAGGCCCTGCTCTGCTTAGCTTCAGAGATCTGATGGTATCTGTCTTTCACATGCAGGTGGCGCCATAGACAAGGCAAGGCAAATGTATTTGTATAGCACAGTTCATACCAGCAACATCCACCCAGTCCTCGATTCTTTGTAAGAGAATCTCATGGTCAACAATGTCAAAATGTATTATTTCTGTAATCACTAGGTGGTTTCATGACAGGGCCCAGCTGGGTCTCTCCTCTAACTAGACTGTCAGTGGCTGCAAAGTAGAGACCCTGTGAATCCTAGTGTTTAAAGATAAGAGGGGCAGGGGAAAGCAGGGGAGGATGGAGAGGTGGGTGGTTTTTGGACAATGAAAAGGTTTTGGACTATCGATGTTTGTGGTTGTAACGGGACACAATAGAAAAAAACTGATCAATAATATAAATGGATTCACTCAAATAAATTAGAGAAAATAGAATCATCAAAGCAACATGTTTTATTATTGGTACCGTTTACTCCAGAGAGCACCTTGACCAGAACATTAACGATGCAACTCACAAGCTTTTACACACGTATTATGAAAAAGTTATATTTTCATTTACTACAGCGCATCGTGCGCGCAGAGAAGGTGATCGGCCGCAGCCTTCCATCGCTGCAGGACCTGTACGTCGCCCGAGCTCGAGGCCGGGCTGGTCGTATCACAGCCGACCCCTCTCACCTGCACATGGACTATTCCAACCACTCCCCTCAGGCAGGAGGCTGCGGTCCATCAGGACTAGAACCTCCCGCCATAAGAACAGTTTCTTCCCCTCTGCTGTTGGACTCTTGAACACATAACCTGTCCCCCCGCCCTCTTGAAGTCCCCTACTGCCCTTGAGAAGTCCCCTTACTGCCTCTTATAATGTCACTTTACTGTTCATCATAACGTCACTTTTACTTTACTGCTGTCACCTTATTTTGTGTGCACCATGTGCACTTGTATATTGTATCTAGTAATTGTAATAATTCTATTTTAAATGTTATTCCTTAGAAGTGTTGCTGATTATTTTTATTTTTTATTATGCCTTCTCTATCCTTTACCTCTCTTACTTTTGCACTGAGCTAAAACAATTTTCAAGTCTATGACTTCCTGTTACTTACGTGGCTTTCCCACATTAGAAATCAATTCGTGTTATTTCATTCTTGTAAAACAAAGTAATGTAAATAAAATGTATATTTTGTATAGATTTTGAAATGTTAGAGTAAAAAAACTTCAGTCCATTGGTTGTTTCCAACAGTCCTCGTGTTGATGTCCTCTGTGGGGGCTGAAGGCGGTTGTATTATTGCATCATAATCATCATGTTTTTGGTTCTAAAATTGAAATAAAGCAGAAGTCAGATGTGAATTTACCATTAAACCGTTTGGAACCATATGCAACTTTTGTTAAATCTAGTTTAAAGGGCTTAATTTCCACCTGGTGATAACATTTAAATCTCAACAATAAAACTTCCATTTGAGTTTTTAATGGAGTTTTTTGGTGGAAACAGGATTGATGTGTGTGTGATCTACACACAGACTGGCAACAAAGGTTTATCTAAAATGTGTGTTTTACATCATACCAAAGACATGTATGTATAAGCATCTGGTTCCTCATATCCATCACTATGGAGCCCCAAATCTGTCAGAAATCTACAACTTCCCATTATTAGGTTTAAAAATTGAATAAAAATGAAGAATAACATCTTTACCTGGACCAGTGTCTTTTGAGCTTGTAAGAAAAAACAGTGTTCATTCAAAAGGGCGACAGTAGTTCAGTTCATAGAGCATTGGCCTTTGAGCCAGAGGGCCCGATCTTCACCACCGACACCCACTGTCTGCTGCCGTTGTGTCCTTGGCAAGACACTTAACCTCTGGGAACACCTGATGCCGCAGTGGGGCGGCTGCGGCTGTAAAGTGCCAAACTGCCGTTGTGTCCTTAGGCAAGACACTTAACCCCCATTGAGTCTGGTGTGTGTGTGAATGGTTGGTGGTGGTCGGAGGAGCCGATGGCACAGACTGGTTGCCTCTCTTCTGTCAGTGTGCCCCAGGGCAGCTGTGGCTACAGTAGTAGTTTATCACCACCGTGTTTAGAGTGAATGAATAATGACATGTGAAGCGTCTTTGAGTGTCCAAAAAAGCGCTATATAAAACCGATGCATTATTATTATTATTATGTTTGTTCTAAGTCAAATAAAGTCAAATACATTGATTAAATCAGTTTCTCTGAACACTTACACAGAGACGTAACGTTTGCCCGAGGAAAGAAAATTTTTCTCAATCAGTTTTGTCTGAAGATTGTTACAGAGAAGATAGAATGTTTGAGTTTTTCACCTTTGATTCTAAGTGAGCAGAGAAAGCCCAGAACTGTCTGGACAGTGCCCGTCACTAGACCACAGGACACCAGCAGGACCAAGAACCAGGTGGGTCCCACTGTGACAGTATACAGCATGGCAAAAACATATTTAGTCAGACACCATTTGTGCAAGTTCTCCAACTTAAAGCTGCACCACTGGCCCCCACTTTCTTGAGAAGCTACACTGTTAACCCGAAAGTTAATTGCACTCGAATGGTTTCAGCTCTAACCACTGATGGTAAATAAATTTCTCTGTAAAACTCAAATCATACAAGTGTGGCAGAGAGAACTCTTTGGTTGAAGTTGAAAGGACTTAACATATATAGTGTTGCATGTGATGCACTAGAATGAATACATTTAACTTGGTCCAATCTATTTTAAGTTTATTCAAAAATATAGTTTAGATAGTATAGTTAGAGTACAAATGTGTGTAAGAGAATGAGTTTTGAGGTCAACACTCAAATAAACAAGTAAATGAGATCACTACTACAACCTTTAAGTTGAAAGCACTTTCACTATCTTTAAAGAAGCTATACCCGATTTTTTTTCTAAGTAGTTCATAAAAATACTGTTTACTACATACAAGTTGCATCATAATACATAATTTAATTGAAAACTTGAGGTCATTGATTCCACTGTGTATGAAATTCAGGCAGTGAAAAGTGCTGAGTATAGTCTGAGCGGGCCGCTCGTTCTCCTCCACTCACAGAACGAGCAGCGACCAGCCTGCGTCCTCTAGCCTCTACAGCGCTGCTTAACACACAGGGCTTCGACTTCAAAATTCGAATATAATTCATTCTCTCTTTGAGTGTAGGTGTTATATTGTGTGTGTGTTGTTTGTTGGTGGTTGGGGGGGGTTTTGGTTTTTTGTGTGTATGTGGGTTATATGTGGTTAAAAAGGTGTGGGTGTTTGGGGTGGGTTGGTAGGATTTTTTTACAGGGTGAGAAATATGGTTATAAGGTAGGGATTGGGATGGGAGGTTATGATTTGAGGATGAATTATTGGGTTAGGAAGGGGGGTGTATGGAGATGAGGAGGGGGGGTATAGTTTTATGGTGGGGGGGGATGGGTTTTAGAGGGGTATGATATCATATTGAGGGTTTGAGTAAGGGGGGAATGTGTGGTTAGGTGGGTAGAGGTGGGTTCGGATGGGAAGTGTTGATACACATTATTATGAGGGGGTGGTTTGGATTCGTGTTTTGTGGGTTGTTAGGGAGAAGGTGGGAGTATGAGATTGATAAGATTTGAGAGAGTATATAGAATTGGGGGAAGTTATTAGGAAATTTGTGGGTTTGTATGGAAGAGCGTGAAGGGTCGTGGGGATTAATGGGGGGATTAGGTTTTGGGGGAGGTGTTTGGGTCTATCACAAGATCAAGGTCATAAATTGTTGGAAGATGGAGTAGGAGAGGAAGGAGTGGGAGTTGAGTCGTGATAGTATGGTTTAATGTTAATATTGGTTAGGATATGATGTTAGTTAATAGATATTGTTGGAGACAGATGTGTGGTGAATGGTAGTAGATTGGTGTTGATTTTGTTGTTGTTTTAGAGTTGGGGATTCGTTGTATGGAGGGTAAGTTAGTATGGGGGGTGTGAGGGGATAGGGTTTGTGTTGGCAGTGTTGACATTGATTTGATGTATTAATGAATGAATGGGATGGGGGCTTATGAGGTATTTGGGGGACAGGAGATTGAGTCTTGGTGATGAAGTTGTATGATGTGAGGGGGATATTGGAATTAGTCTGGGTGGGAGAAGGGGTGGTGTAGGTCACACATTGGTGTTGTAAGGGAGTGAGGTGGGGGCGGGGGAGACAGTGGATTTTAGGATTATGGGTATGTATAGGGGTGTGAGAAGGGTTGGGGGATGAGAGATTAGAAATGTGGGGGGGGGAAAGAGGTATAGGGATAAAAGGGTATGGGGGAGAGGGTATGTGGAAGGGGGGGGGTGATGGGGATTGGTTGATAATGGGTTGGTGATGGGTTGAAGAGTAGGGGGTTCTGTGTGTGGATGGGAGTGGTTAGGAGTTGTAGATATGAGGATATTGTAATGGGGTGGGTATGTGATGTGTTTGATTGGGGGTTTTTTTTTTGGGGTGTGGTATAGGCAGGACTGGAGGAGGGATAGGAGTTGGGTTGATAAGGTTAATTGGGTGGTGGGGAGTGGGAGGTGTGGGAGAAAGGGGTGTATAAGGGAGAGGGTGAGGATATGGGGTGGTGATGTAGGTAAATATGGTGAAATGAAGAAGGGTATAGGAATGAGGATATAGTGTTTATAGGTATAATGGTAAGTGGAGAAGGTATGTGGAGAGGTTATCTTTACTTTGAACTAATGAATGGTTGATGTGGTAGAGGGGTAATGTGGGAGGGTGGATGTGGTGGGGGTAATTGAAGGTGAATCGGGGTGTGATCGGAGAATAGGGAATGGGTTTTGATAGGGGTGAGGGAGCATGACTGTAGGTGACGAGGTGAAGAGGGGTGGGGGGGGGGGTTTGGGGTTGGAGTTGGGAGTTGGAGTTAAAGGGGGGAGTAGGAGGATTTAATGTTTGATAGTCTTTACTTTGGTACGAAAGATGGCGGTTAGTTCAGTGCGC